CAAAAGAAGATTGGACTGGATTTGAGCTCTACATATACGACGACGGTGGAAACAGACGTTGTGTATACCCATACAATAATATGTACCATTGTTTTCATCAAGCATTAAACGAATACATAGTCAGTAAGGGTCTCATTCCTGCTGAGTAGAAATGTTATATTTTTGTTCTGTCATTTATATAAAAATAAACTTAAAAATTAATGATATCACCACCCTCACACGTATGAAAACATAGCACAAAAATAAATTTAGGGTAGAAGGTTAGATCTAACCCGATTTCTAACCTCATTTCTACCCTGGTGAATTTATTGCTTTATAACTCTCTTCCTTTCTCCAACTCTTCTAACTTCTTCTTAAGTTCAGCAATGTTGTCCTCATGAAGTTTAATCTTTCTCAAAATTCCTTCTTTATCTAATGGTTGCTTTATCTTTCTAAACTGAACTCTACCATCCTTCATAGTATGAATGTAAAAACCTTCTGGAATAGTTCCTGATTTAATGTATTCTACCAAAAACTTTTGTTTCATTGCTTCAGTGACTTTATTTGTCATTTCAATCAAATAAAAATTTTAATATTAAATAAAAATAACGTTATTTTTTCAGTAAGGAAACGCAGGAGTTTTACGATTTATTTGAGAAGTAGGTTCTGGTTTAAATGTTGGAGTCGGTTTAGGAGTTGACTTTTGAACAGGAGTTTGTACTTCCATAGGTTCAGGAGTCATTGAAGGTGTTGTTTGTGAAGGCGTTGGTTTTGACGTTGGTTTTGGCGAAGGTGTTGGAGTTTGTTTAACTTCAGCTACTTCAGTATTATTTACAACATTTGCTTTATTTCTTTTCAACATCATAACTGCTCCTGCTGTAGCTAGCAAACCTAGTGGGAGACCATATCTTATATAAGGACTTGACCAAATGCTATTTTTGACAGGAGCTGGTGGAACACCTAACCTTGGTGAGACTGCTCTTTGCCATTGTGCAGCTCGTAAGAAATATTCAATAGGTGCTCCATAATCGTTTGGTAAAGTTTGTTTCATAGATGGTGAAGGTTCACGAGAGCTTGATGAAGAACTCATTTATAAGCTTTAAAAATAAACGTTCATCCTTTATTCCTCACTGTCGTCCGTAGCTAAGTTATAGTCATCTAATCTTATTATTGGGATTCCATTAGCACGCACCTGAATGGCAAAGCAACAATCCTCATAAATCCAATAAGTGGCTTTGGTACATTTTCAGTTGCTAGTTCAATAGGTCCTTTAACAGACAATTTGTATGTTATTGGAGCAGTAGATGTTTGACCTTGCTGGAAGCAAAAGTCCACTTCTGTTGGAAAACCACATAAGAAATGTGTGTTGACATAGCTATCCCATTTATGTTCCACACTACCATCATCCACCAATGACCTCATAACATCTTCATTAAATCCTATCATATCATTGTTTGTATTGCAAGCGTTCGCAACCATTTCATAAAATACAGGTCCATATGATTTTTCAGGTTCTGCAGGCATATTTCCATAAGCTCCCATGGAAAGCTGAAGATATTTAAACTTAGGGTTCTCAAAATTAACATAATAGTTGTCTTTCTTTCTAAATAGTGCCCAAATACTTTTAACATTAATAGGCGTATAAGCTGCTGTAAATGTTGCACTTGAACTATCTGTATTCTTTGAGAATGAACCGTCCATAGGAATCCAATCCATAACTTTAACAGGAAAACATAAAGCCTCGTTTGTATAATGTTCTACAAGTTCTGTATAAATGTTAGGGTCTAAAGAGAATGACTTTGGATGAATGAAACATTCATTAAAATCCATCTTTGTTCGAAATAGTTGCTGGGTTACAGTTGTAATAGTAACTGTTCCACTAGCTTCTACTGACTTCGTTATCATAGTGAATGGTTCATTCCATGGAACAAATTTATTTGTCGGTGGATTTGAATCTGAAGCAAATGCAACTTTAAGAGTTGGATTGAAAGCAATGATATCATTTACAGATATAGATGTGCATTGTAAGGCGTCGCTACTGAACTTTACTTTAAGCTGAATGTTTCCTGCAAAAGCTGGAATAAATCGAATAGCTTCTAATGGAAGGAATCTTCTAGCAGGAATTCTTAAACGAAGCTTAAAATCAAATGATTTTCCTGCTGTAATTGGACCACTAACAATTTGTCCTGTTCTGCATGTTCCCGAATGACTCCATACATCTTCATGTCGAGTCTTTGAGAAAACATCTACTTTCTTTATTTGTTCGGTAGTTTGTGAGTTTGAAGTTATATATGCTTCTTCTCTTGCGTTGTCTTGAGAATATACGATACGACCATTTGCAAGGATTTGATATCCAGCAACTGCATAGAAAGCGTCATCGAAACCAATCCAAAATCCTGGTGGGTTTGTTTTATTGGAACCTGAACCAATTTCTTTATCTACAATAAATTGACCTTCCATTTTATACGTAATGAATGTATTGTAAAGGTCCAACATATTTTCACCAGGAGGTGAGAGATTGAATGTTACCCAGGTGTTATCTTTAGCAGTTCCAGGTTGTGATGGAATCTTTGCGTCAGAATATTTTCTATTAGTGTCACCAATTTGAACTGCATTGTCTATGATATCGAAATATGAGCGAATCTGATGAATATGCTCTGCTGGAGTAAATTCGTTTAACTGTTCGTTCTGCATGTATTTACTTCAGATAAAAATATCTATTTACTTCATTATTCTCACTCTTCTTCTTGGCATTCGTGGTGGAAGTTGTTTCTTGACATTTGCAATGAACTGTACATTCTCTTTTGTCTCAACTTCTTTCACTGGCGGGTCAGGATTCTTTGACTCGGTTTGTTTTTCAATGAAATTCACGAACTTTGCAATAAGCTCTTGGTTCGTTATTGAAAGTACATCTGGCTTCTTTTCTTCTTGTTCTTTTGGTGGCTCAGTTTGAACAGAAGGTTTTATATGGGCTTCGCCCTCGGTGCCATGCACCTTAATGTTGTCGCTTTCTGCATTCGCTAATGGAACCTTTCTTTTTCTTACGTATATTTTACCATCTTTACTCTGACTTACGTAATAGAAAGGATGTTGTATTCCTCTTGCGTCATTTAATATAATAGACTCTCGCTCTGATTTTGACAAGCTCATTTTACATCGGTTAAAGTTTTAATTTTGTTTTTTATCTGCAGTCAAATGACTCAGACAAGCCCTACGGACAAGACCCAAGGGGTCATAGATGTTGAAGCATTGAAGAAAGAAATTCGTGAGCAAATTTTATCCGAACTGAAGGAACAAAAACAAGAACAAAAGCCAGAGAGACCAAAGAGAAAACTTAGTGAAAAACAACTTGCTGCATTAGCTGCTGGAAGACAAAAGAACCCACGTTTGCTGGCGAAGAAAGCTAGAGAAGAAGCTGAAGCAAAAGCTAAAGAAGCTGAAGCAAAGAAAGAGTAAACGGTTTATTTTTATCCGAATTAAATGTATAGACAAATACCTTTATCTGTTGCGTTCAGTAGTGAAAACCCTGACGTCAAAATAAAGGGGAACAGAGTAACGTTTAAGTTTCCAACAGACTGGATTGTGAACATAAATGAAGAGAAGTACATTGGCATAACATCTATGTATATAACACGTGCTTTCAGAAAGGTTGACTTTATACTTCAAGTCGAGATAGAAAATGACGAACAGTCTTTAAGCGCCCAAAACATTCACATATACAAATACTTTAAAGACGATACAACATTGCAACAATGTATGACTTCATTTAATGAGATGTTCGAGAAAAAGTTCAACATTGAAGTACAAACTTTACAGCCTTTACGTGAGTTTCTTGCACAACTGAAAGAAGAAGGTAGTCAGCCACAACTTATAGACTTTCATTATGAATTTAATGAAAATGAAGATGGAACACATGACTGTCAGTTTGTTATATATTCACCATTCAATGAAGTAGCTAAAGAGAAAGAAATCCATTACGTATAAGATTTCAAATCTCTGAACCAAGTGATGATTTCAAGAATGTTTTCAATTATGATGCAATGCTTCCGAGGAAAAATGAATTTTCAAAGATTGTAACACCTGACATTTGGGATAGAAAGCAAGCTATATTATATTCAAACCTAAGTAAGGGAGTTGAAAATGAGTTCATTGGTCATACAAGAACTTCACCACATCCTAACCCTAAATACTATAAATTAACTGGCTTCAATCGTGAGTTTTGGATAGACATGTTCTCCACTCATGACCATAACTGCCCAGTGTTCTTACCTCCAGACCATAAGGACTGTCTCTACATTGAAGCACAACTCTTAAACTCTACCATCGCAGTATTGTAAATGACCACATGGGCTTCGCCCTTGCCGCTAGCGGCTTATTTTTATCATGAATGACCTCATTGCTGACAAAAATAAATGACCTCAGAACTTCAACTTACGAATAAAGCTTGTTTTAGTCGTTATTGAGAAGTTAAACTTTTCAGCAAAGCAAGGACTAGAAGACTTACATAAGTCAAATCCAATCTCTTGACCATCATGAAGTGCTTTGTAAAGTTTCATTAAACTGAACTCAGAGTCTTTGTCAATGTTCCAAGGTATGTGAATGTCTTATCTTCATTGTAATAGCATTGTATAGCTTCAGGAAACATTTCGTTAGCGGTTAAAGCAAGGACGTCTTGTTTGACACCTTTACAACGTGCATGGAATGCAACTTCATTTAAATCATTCGTGAGTAAGTCTATGTAAGTCTTCTTTCCACAAAATATTGACTTGTATGCTAAACTTTGTTTTCCAGGTGTTATTTCTGCGAAGTCAGAATGAAATTGACCAAGGTTCTTTCCTATAAGTTCTCTACCGTATCTCTTCTTAAACTCTGCTGCAATCTTTGGTATGTCTTCATTGAAAATATGCATGCTATCACAGTCCTGGTAAAATATTTGAAGTCCCATATCTTCTGCAGTACAGAATACTTCGTTCATTATTCTCTTCGACATTGACAGAATGTTAACACCAAGTGGACAGAAGTTAAAGTGTCTGCAAATACTTTTCGTTAGCTTGAAAATAGTTTTATCTGAACCATCCAAACCTTCGAACTTCACTATATGGTTGTAGTTTCTGATGGCATATCTTATAGCATCTTTGTCATTTACTATGGTTATTTTTGACTCAATAGGAGAAAGAATAGTTTTGCCATAAATACTGTTCAGAATGAGCTTTATATTTTCTTGCAAAGGATTTCCTTCTTTCTTATACTTTAACCTTAACTCAAACAACTTCTTTACTTCATCTCTTATTCTAATATCTCTGTTTCCATCGTAATAGTATCCTTGCAACACTTCACATTTGACACCTTGATATTTTATGAGGTCTTGTAATGTTATATGGTCAACATACATTAAACAGCAAGTGTTTGAACTTCTGGGAACGTTAAGTTCTGGATTTAGTTCAGGGTCACAAACTATTAAAGGAAAGTGTCTATGTATTCCAATCTCTGTTATCTTAATGAGAATAAAGAAGCCAGACATAAACTTTTCACCAATGGGTTCCTTTTGGTCGTCATCGAATAAATGTCTCATGAGATACTCTGTGCTTAACATTTCTTTCTTCATAACCTTTGGAATACCTTCTAAAGTATAAAGTCTTGCTATAGCGGATGGATATAATGAAACAGCGTCGAAATCAGCAATGAGTTTCTTTTCGCTCTTTTGTTTCATGTTATCTGACAGCATACATCTTCCACCTTGAATGCATCTCGAAATAAATTCTCTTGATTTATTTGAGAGGTCATATAAATTTCCATTCGGGAAGTACACTCTGTTCTCAAACAATTTGTTAGCAATAGAACAAATACTAACGTAGTCATATACGTTTAAATCAAACTCTTTCAATATATCATTTCTGAACTTAACAAAACCTTATCTTAAAATCCTTACATCTTGTTTGCAATAGAATGTACTATACTTTTCTAAGTCGAAATGGTTTTCATCTATTCTGCAACCTTTGATGGAATCTATGTTTTTCATGAATGTATCTGCATCCTGGATAAACTTACATGCTTCAGAAATGACACAAGTTCTGTTGTCATTTACTAACAAAACACTGCTGTAGTAGTTGTATGGAAATACTTCTTTCGGTCCTGTTTGTAAGTTAAACATAGCAGGAAATAGTTTAAGCTTCTTATTTATAACACTGTAAGAGTCTTTTATAATAATTGCCCTTCCTTTATATAAGCCAGTTATTTGCATTGTTCGTGAACCTTTAATGATGGGAGTTCCTTTCACTTCTGTCATGTGTCTTAAGATGAAGTTTATATCATAACTGAGGTTATGGAAATATATTAAACTCTTGTCAGGAAGTCGCTCCAAAAATTCTGTTGCACAGTTCTGACCCCAAATGCTTTCACTCACTGAACCATCTCCACTGTCATAACAGATGTTAAAAGCTTTATGAAAGCCATCGGTACTGCACTCAAAGTCAGCAAAGAAAACGTGCTCAGGAATGAACTTACATTTAGCTTTATTTACTTCTTTTGACTCGGCTTTCTTCTTCAGTTGTACACAATACTTTGGAGCATATGTCACATCTTTAAATGGTGCAAGGTTCTGTTTATATAAGTCAGTCGTATATGTGAAAAGTTCTCCATAAGAAATAGGTTCAAAATATTTGCACCCCCACAATGTTTTCATAACATCCCATAACGGTGTTGTTCAATCATAACGAACTACATATTTGTTCTCTCTCTTTGTATAAATCTTCATCTGTTTCTCAATGTTCATTCCACCACAAGCTTTGAGAATTTCTTTATAATTTATGATAAAATATGTTGTCATAGGTAATCTTTCATTTAGCATGTAATGGTCTTCAACAAGAAGTAAGTCAATAGTTCGAATAGTTTTACATTCTTTTGGTATGTATCTCTTTATTTCATTATGTCTTGAGTCATTGAAGTAACCAATGGTAACATTAAATGCTATACCTGTTGCGTCAGAAATTTCTTGTACTTTACTTTGAGGAAAGTCTCTAACACGAATGACTTCTCTCATGTGGTCAATAGTTTCTTCATTTACTCCAGCCTGAATGCAAGCATAAACGAAGCAGTTATCTTCTGTCATAAGTGTTGCAGTTCTTTTGTTCAGTTCATTGAAGATTTGGTAGCGCTCAAGATTTATAGGTAATGTGCAAAGATACTTCCAGAACTGACCGCTTCTCTTCTTATAAAACTTCTTTTCACCATTATCTTTCCAAAAGCTTTCTATAAGTGCTGGGTTTCCTGTTTGCTTAAGAGCTTCCAAATGGCTTTCTGGTCATTTGTCAGTGTGCTTTCATCTCTATATGGTCTCTTTTTTGGTTTGCCTTTCTTTACATCTGACATCGTTAAGCCTTCATATTCTGTTAAATCATACATCTTTATTTCGTAAGATTCTTTATGTTTGTCAAGAAGAAGTCATAGTGCATTTCAACAATACCTGCAGCATTTGCTTCTATCTCTGATATAAAGTTCTCCTTCAAGAGCTGATGTAGTAATGTTCCAATATTATTGAGGTTTAACGTAGAACATTCATACTTTCCACCAAGTTTATAACATACCATCCATCTTTGTTGGGAGTTTATTTTAATTTTCTCTAAGAGTCTCATGAAAACCTTACCGAAATGTTTGTGTAAGTAGTCTCTGTTTGGTTCATCTAAAGCTTCGATGTTAAAGTCAATGAGTCTATTGCCTGTCTTAACATTCCTCTTCCTATTCTCTTCATCTTTCTTTAACCATCTCTCACCTTCTTTTGGTTTGTCGTCAATGGAACGAAGGACATCGTTAGCTTTGCGAACTTGTTCTATAGCGCTCTTAAACATCTCTCTTCTCTGTTGTTTCAGTGTGTCGTCTCTTCTTCTTGTTTCACCAACGTTTGCATTTGTTATGTCAAACATTTCTCTTCTTACTTCATGAGGTACTGAACGTCTATGATATAAGTCAATAAAACGTCATTTAAAGGAAATGCTCTTGCATGGACTTCGTCCTCGCCGCGTTGCGGCTTTATGAACTCATGAATTCTATCATAAGTTATTTCACCATTGTAGTCATTGAGGATGTCAGCGAGTGCTTTTTTGTTTGTTGCGTAATGCTTTGCAACATCTATATTAGCTTCTGTAAGAAGTTGTTTTATTTCCGAGTGTTCTAACTTAGACAACTTCCGATACATCTTTAGTAGGAAATAAAAAAATATTTTTTGAAAAAATTAGATTAGATTTTTTAAGTTATTTTTCAAAATAATTTAATATTTTTATTTTAATGAAACACATGCAAGATTGCAAGTTCTTTTCATACAATGCTCTCGCTACTGCCATCAAGAATGAGTTCAATAATGCTTCAAATGTTAATGTTATCTTTAACAAGAAGTTTGTGAAAGAATCTAAGTTTGGTCAGTATGTCAGACCATTAGCTATCGTCATTGACCGCAAACGTTATACTTCACAAGAGTTAGCAGTAGTTTTGAAACAAAAGAGTTTCTTCGTGAATGTCAAAGATACTCATTATACTGTCATAAAGAACTCTAACGTTGACTTCTTCAGTATTGCTTTAAATCTTTCCGAACAGAAAGAATATAAGAAGGGTGAAACATCTGTGAAATATTATCCTTCATCTCTGAAGACAATAACGAACAAAGATGTTATACAGAAATTCTTACCAAAGGTTGAAGAAGCTTCTATTGACATTGACGAAGGAAGTGAAATGGTTGAAGAAATAGACCCTGAAGCTTTATAAGAAAATTTATTTTTGAATAACTGATGGTGTCACTACGTCACCATGTCACCACGTCACTATGTCACCACGTCACCATGTGTCACCAGGTTAATTAACTTCTCTTAAAAATGATGACAACATGACATTTTGACAACACAGCAGGATTAATGCAAAAATGAATGTTATCGTTAATGTTATCGTTTATGTTATCGTTAATGTTATCGTTTATGTTATCGTTAATGTTATCAGTGTCGAACATAATTGACATGGAGCATTTATGTTATCGTTAATGTTATCGTTTATGTTATCGTTTATGTTATCGTTAATGTTATCGTTAATGTTATCGTTAATGTTATCGTTTATGTTATCGTTAATGTTATCGTTAATGTTATCGTTAATGTTATCGTTAATGTTATCGTTAATGTTATCGTTAATGTTATCGTTTATGTTATCATTTATGTTATCGTTTATGTTATCGTTAATGTTATCGTTTATGTTATCGTTAATGTTATCGTTTATGTTATCGTTAATGTTATCGTTAATGTTATCGTTTATGTTATCGTTAATGTTATCGTTAATGTTATCGTTTATGTTATCATTTATGTTATCGTTAATGTTATCGTTAATGTTATCGTTTATGTTATCGTTTATGTTATTGTTAATGTTATCGTTTATGTTATCGTTTATGGAAACAATTAAATGGTAAAAACAAAATAAACTTGACGATCAGACGATTCTCTCTTCGTTAATTATGTTCGACATGGAGCGTTTATGGAAACAATTAAATGGTAAAAACAAAATAAACTTGACGAAGGGTTTTGTTTTTTATCATGGTTTTCTCCACTATGGTCCTAACGTGGCACCCGACGAGATTTTTTTTCATTCTTCCTCTTTGAAGTTGTCGAAATATTCTGTTATTTTTTCCTTCAGTAATGTTAAGTCTTCTTTGAATGTAAGTATTGTGCAACCTTTGATGTCATAGTGTGTTTGAGGAAGAGTATTTTTGACAATTTCCTTTATTTGTTCATTCGGTGTCATTGAAATCGGTAAGTTTTCACGATAGAACCAGTTTCTGTCAGATTTATATATCTTAGCTAAGTCGTAAAAGCTCTTGTTGTTTCTTCTCACTAAATGCAACATAACCATATCTCTGTCTTCTTTTTTCTCCAACTCTTCAGTATATATCATATACTTATAACTCCTTTCCTTTTGGTACTGAACGCGGTATTCTTTTCTGTATGCTTTTGTCTTTGGATTCAATGACTTCATCTTTTGCTTTATATAGTTCATCTAACATCATGAAAATATAACAAGCATAACGAGGTGAAGCCCACATTGCTACAGCGTTTACTAAAAGTCTATGAACATAATAACCTTTCAAACCAGGAGCCAAATTCTTGCGATTTTCATACGGAATCTCTTCATTCTGCAAAGCAATCATATGAGGAAATTCTTCTAAAAGTTCTTTTGTCTGTTGGTTTTCAAACCAATGATATGCTTGCTTTGTAGAACGAAGAGCATTCATTATACTTTGCATTTGGTACATATCGTCTTTAACTGAACGAATGAGACGTAACTGTTTGTTATACTGTATGTACTCGTATTCTTCATTTATGGCTTCATGAACGATAGCAGTTGTTGTGTTCTCTGATGTTGACATTACTGTCTTTACATACAAGATAAAAATTTTTGTTAGGAAAAAATTAGCGTTATTTTCTGACTTTCACAAAAGACAAAAATAAACGCTTTACATGTATTTTTCAGCAACTTCGTCAAATAATTTTATAGCTTTATCTATCTCATCTACTTCAAACGTTTCTTTACCTTTTATGGGAGCACCATACATTTTCTCAAACTTTTCGAGTAGTTCTGTTTCTGCGGCTCTCATATCATTAACGAACAAAACCTTGACTCTATTGACTGTAGAGTCATATCTTTGAGTTATATTATATGTTCTTCCTATCTTATATCTCTTTGTATTGAAGTCCTTCG